GATACGTGTTTTGGTAGTTTCACCGTCGATATGCTCCAGCCTACAGCTAGGTATATCGACGGCGTAAGTCTGCAATCACGTATCTCGTTTGTGATGTCTGAAAAGCTCCGCCTCTGTGTTACTTTTTTAAAGAAGAACAAATAAACATCATTCCTTAAAGTTTTTACAGAATTTTCTTCGCACGGAGAAGAAAAATCACGGCAGTTTTAAAGAATTGCCGTTGAGTGGTTTTCCGTTCAAAAAATAAAGTATGACAAGGAGTCTGCGACGTCGCAAACCGAGTTATGTGATTACCGACTTACACCGTCGACATAGGTCCATATGGTCCAGTCTAGTACAGCCCTACAGCTATACGCTGCCGTGTTAAGGAAGAACGCCGCATGAGCCTTCAGGCGTTGTCAAATTTCCTTGGATATAATACAAATTTTCTGGTGAACTTATGAATATTTTTCTTCCAATGTTTCAGATAATTTTGTTCGCACTTTAATATACATTATCTGAAAATTTCATAGAAAAATATTCATAACTTTTCTCAAAAATAAACATTGTATTGGAGGAAATTTGGCAACTTTCGAATGTCCACACGGCCTCCTTCCTTAGCACCGGCAGTATGGTTCAGCCCTACAGCTTTAGGGTCCAGCTCTACAGGGGCAAAATCTGAGGGGCAAAATCATCAATCTTAAAAAATTTGAACATAATCTGAGATTTTCGAATGTTGCGATGGAGATACACGCTTCCGATTTTAGCCATCGATGTGCTTTGAAAGGATCTATTTTTATTACCGTGCTGCCGTCGCGTTAATGCCTTGCCGTTCTAAATACTATTCACTGGAAATTGTTAAAGACTGTCTCATTTTTTTATTTATTTCCCTTGAATTTTCTTTTTCTTGCCTCTGCTCTCCAAAATGACCTTCAGCAGACACGCACGCGAGGAAAGCACTTCTCCTCCGAAAAATATCGTGAGTGAATTATTATTACACCGTCGATCCGCCACTTGAGTTCAAGTGGCTTTGAGATTTCTTAATTGAGCTTCGAGTGGTTTTTGTCAGTGCTCTTGATTCCGGATTTTTGTCGCTCCTACTGCGCCCTCTAATATCGCATATCCTTGCATCTAAACATACTTCTCCAGCCTTGTTTGATTGCGTATAATTTTTTCACTTATTCTAAATATCTCAGTATGCTCCGACTTGTGTGTAATTTGCAATGCAACTTGATTTAATTAATTTTATTTTTATGAAAGAAGGGGCAGAGAAACGCAAGGGAAAATACAAAAAGAACAAAAAGAGGAGGAACAAAGTGGAATAAAGCAGGGGAGCTGGTGGTTTTTGCCAATGTGCGCTAAAATTCAGTATAAAACTGAAAATTCTCATTGCAGAGGGAAAAGCTCATTCGAGCACAATTTGACTGAAAATTAATGTTTTTTTTACTGACAGACTGTAGGAGAAGGAATAATAGAAAAAGTGGAGGAAGAAAAGAGGAATAAGGGGGAAGAGCGTAGGGAGGGGGAATGGTATAGAAGAGGAGGAAAAGAAGAAGGGGGAAAAGAGGGGGAAGAGGAGGAAGAAGAAGACCACAGAGGAAAAAAACGATTCCCAACGAACCGAGTTAAATCAATGAAAACGCATTAAGAGATGTAGAAAAAACCGCAGTAGTCGTGTGAATCGGCGTAAAAAGTTTGCAGGCCGAGCGCGGAGGGGGGGGGGAGAGGGGGCTAGAGCGGTTAGATGCGTGCTAGAGAAATTCCTGGTGTCGACCTTGACTCGGCACTGGACGCCAGGAAGAGCATGGTTTTGACCCATTTTCTCACAATGCCTACTAAATACACTTTACATACAAAAGATCTCGGCAACATTGATTACTTGATTAATTACTTCGGAATCATATTCGATCGCTCATCTCCGATGATGAAACCGCGTCGATTTTTAAGCGGCCGCCCGCAAGAATAGCAGGATGCTGCGTCCAGTTACAAAATATTTTGGCACTTTTCACTCTGTTCTCGCTCGTTGCATACTCGCTTTGATTGATTTTCCTTTCGCCATTTACCCCTCTCTTTTTCGCCGGTTTTCTCAAGAGGTAGCTTTCCGTAGCTTGGCTATTGCAAGTGTAATGAGGAGGGGCGGGGGAAGAGCGGCTGTCGAAGGTTCCAGATACGATTTTGATACCCTCCCAAGTTACAATAACAAAGTTTTATGATAAAATGAGATTTGTCATGATTTTCCTGTAAATCTAACGCCCCCTTTCCCCCGCCCCTTCATTTTTTCCGTCAGTTTTAACTTGTTTGCGTCTTTTCCTTAAAAATGATGCAAAAACTACACGGAGAAAAAACTTCGTGCGTGGGACCCGAAGTTTAGGTCATATGGATCTCTGAAGTTTTCGGATTGAGCATCTGAACATTTTAGGTCCAGCTGCTGAGGTTTGGATCACACACCTGAAACTTCAGTTCTTACATCTGAAGTACTTCGGTTTTCACATCCGAACAACTTTGGTTCTCACATCCGAAAAACTTCGGTTCTCACATCTGAAGTACTTCAGATGTAAGAGCTGGAGTTTCAGATGTGTGATCCGAACCTCGACAGCTAGACCTAAAGTGTTCAGATGTTCAATCCAAAAACTTCAGAGATCCATATGACCTAAACTTCGGGTCCCACGCACGAGGTTTTTTCTCCGTGTATAAATCACGAAATTTGGAGAAGAAAAAAAAGAGTGAGCAGCAAAAGCGACAACTGAAATTTCAAAAGTTTACAAATAAATTTACAACAAAGTTTACAAACAAAAAGTTTACAAATAGAACAGACTCATCCTCGAGTAGATGACTATTGCTGACAGAGTGTGTTTTCTGGCCTACCCCGACATTTGAAGGCAAAATAGCTATGTGCGTAATATCCATAGCTTCTCTGTGTAAGTTCTGCTTCTTGGAATTTCTGGCGAAAAGACGCCCTTGCTTCGACTTTTAAGTTTATTTCTTGAGGTTGACGAGGATACATTTAAGACGTTTCCTTTTTCTTCTCACCCTTCCCTCAATTTCTACACCGTTTTACTTATGAAGCACGCTCCCTGGGGTCATGTGGAAATTGAGATACGCCCTTACGCTAGAGGAGCGACGAAAAGACTTCGATTCCGAAGGGGGAAGGCGATGTGCACCGCGGGGGTGGAACCCTGCCTTTTCTCAAGAGCCTTCGAGCCTCAAGCACCATTGCATCAGGTCCGCGTTGCAGGGGGTCCATCTGGTGACCAGCACTCTCCTTATCGGCAACAGAGCAACTCTTGGACCGGGAGAGAAAAGGGGAAACATTTTGGGAAAGCCGATGGATGGTGCCAACCGACCTAAAAAGACCCCCCCCCCTTCCCCATGACATGGACGTATTTCTGCCTAACAGACTATGCGTATTAAGACATGAGCCCTGAGACCCATAAGAACATAAGCGTAACAGGGCTCACGACACAATACACATAGTTCCGTTTGGCAGAAATATGCCCAAAGAAGTGAATTTTTGCGAGATCAAGTCGCAAAGAGACTAATTTAAGGTATGGAGATAGTAAGAAGATATGATTTAAAAGTAGGAATTTTTATTTCAGCAGCACTCGAGACAATACGGAGAAAGCTAGAGCAAAGGATTTCAACTGACAAAAGTCAAAAACAAGGGATGGCTCCGCGCAAGCGTGGGCGTTTGGACAGGGAGTGCGAGAATCTTGTTGAGTCTTGAAGGGTGCGTCTGTTTAAAGTTTTCAGGGATGAAAAAAAATGCTGCGTTGTCGGATTAAACCTTGCGTTAATATCCTCAACAGTAAAAATATGCAGCTCTCCCAATAATTCACGATCTCTTTCTCGCTTCCTTGTCTTCTTATGACCGGATAGAGGTGAGTAAAACAGTCACATTTACAGTGTAGGACTTCAGAATCTCATGTCCTATTTTAATTTTTTGGGAGGAAACCAATCAACATCTCCACTCGGAAATTGCTGCAATTACTCCTGCCCCTTACGAGATTTATTTCTACAAAATTTCAAGCAAAAATGTTGCTGAGTTTCCTCACAAAAAATTAAAATAGGAAATGAGATTTTGAAAACACTGCAATGAACATCGACAGCCAAAGTGCGAAACCACCTAACTCCGTTTGCGACGTTGCAGCCTTCCTATCATACTTCAATTTTTCTTTGGGTATTTAGGTAAAGTTAACGTAATCTCCTTAAAACTTTCTTGATTTTTTTATTCTTCTGCAAAATATTCTGTGTATATTTTCAGCTACAAAGTTCGCTATTTTTACAAAAAAAAAAAAAAAAAAAACAATATTGGAACAGGAATTTTGAAAAGTCGCAAAACATGGTTTTGCACTTTCGCCAGCAAGATGTGACTGTTTTGCTCGATTCTATCCAATTTCTCACCGCTATCTTCGCAGCCGTCTTATCGAGACGATGGGCCCATCAGTGGCGCGACGTGCTTTCCGATCTATCGATTGATTATAATCGATCATTCACGCCTCGCCACAGGGCGCATTCTTGAAAAATCAAAGGAAAACGGAATGTGGAAGGAGTGGCGAGAGCAAGGCATGACGCAATACCTCGCAGTATCAATGAGCTTTTCTGCCGCCCTATGGAAGAACCCCGTATGAGCATTCGAGAGTTGCAAAATTTCCCTCGATAAAACATGTATTTTTGGCGACATTCATGCATATTCGTCTTTGAAATGTTCAGGTATTTTCGATTAAACTGCGTACAAAATTGTCTGAAAATTTTGGAAATTAATATTCGCAATTTGCCCGGTAAATTCCATTTTTATCGGAGGAAACTTGGCAACGTCTGAAGGCTAATACGGCGTTCTTTCTTAGCACGGCAGTTTTTGTGATGAGATAATTGAGTATTCGGACGGAACATTGTGCGGGGAGGGGTGGAGAAACAAAGAGTTCAAACGTCAACACACGGTTAAAAATTAGCATCAATGTTACTTGAGTGACACTGATGGCCACCACTTGAGTTCCATTAAATCTTCATTTTTGTTCGTGAGGCTGAAGCCGCAACACTCAACTCTCTAGCGATGAGTAACGAAAATGAAAATACCGCAGTTGATCTCGGTTTTCTCGCCACGTTGACTGAACGCAGGATCGAAATTGTGGTTGTTGTAGCGGAATTGTGGTTGTTGTAGAGAAATTGTGGTTGTCGTAGCGAAATTGTGGTTGTTGCAGCGAAATTGTGGTTGTTGTGGCGAAATTGTGCGGTTGTTGTAGGCGCGAGTTTTATCGGCGATGGGAAGGAGTGCGTGTATTTTGTGCTGGATAATACTTTTGTGTAATAAACGAGATGTTGGTGTTTTTGCCGATGATTCTTTCTTCTCTCTCAACCCCTTCCTGAAGCTCTATGGTCCGTCGGAATCGTTGAGCCCTCAGTGCTACAACGCAGTGATCTCTTTTCAAAATGCCACCATGAAACGTGCACCTTGGGCTTTGCAAAGTTAGCTTTTCAATGTATTCATTATTTTACTTAATTTCTGCATTATTCTGTTTGATTGATGAAGGGGTGAGCTCGAGGGATGCTAAATTTTGTCCTTTTCAAAATTTAAGTTTTAGCCGCGTAAAGAAAGCTGGCAATTTTCTTTCGACTGTTGAGTTAATAAAAATCGAGAGGTTCTTACTTGAGGTGCCGATCTCAAGAACTATGGAGAACGATTTAATAGCCAGTCGATCGACTGAAAATTTCCAAATTTTCGAAGATTTTTCAAAAACCTCCAAATTCCACAACACGTGATAGTCGATCAGGTAGATCTACTAGATTAACCCGAGGAATATTTTGAAACATTGTCAAAAGTACGCCCTGAGCGAGTGTCGCAAATCGAGAAAAACCTAGATTTGCGGTATTCACCCGGGCCGTGCTTTCAGATACTTCAAAATTTTTCTCCGACAAATCTTTTGATGGGTTACAATGTGATTGGAAATTCAGGGATTTTACAAAAATGTCCTATTAATCGAACTTATTTATGCTAAAAAGTACTGTGTGTGTAGGGTTTGCGTGGTACATAGTTCTTTCCAGCAAAAATTCATCGAATTGATCGACTGAATATCAAATCTAACTTCTAAATGCTGAAGATATATGCTAATCATTTCTTGAAAAAGTTCTAAGAAATTATTTCTTAAAAGGAATAAAAAAATCCCTAAAAAAAGAACAAGCCAACTTCTTTCCCGCAGTATTAACGTTGAAGGTCCTATGATACGTTCCGCTGACTCGGTCAGCACGTTATACTTCTTCGTGCTTATCAGTTGATTTTTTTTCATATTTATTATTCTGCCTTCAGCGAAACCAATATTTAGTAGGTATGCATTTTTTTCTCCCAAACAAGTGTAAAATTGTGCACAATTATCTCACCATGCTCGTTAATTAAAATACATTTTAATCACCCCAATGAGCTCTATGTATAAGTCACGCGAATCGTCAATCCTAATACATCAGTTATTGAATCTTTCTAAACACAAGTGCATTCATAATGGATTTCTGTTCATTTTGCTTTAACAGTGCTTGATGCATCCTCTAAAATCCCATCGGGTCTGTTGTTCGGGAATGTTGTCGGCCTTGGTAACTACGATGAGTGTTTGGCTATCCGCAGCGATGGGTTCACTGACCACGGACACAGCCTCGGAAAATATTGTCTGATCAGTGCAACTTTCAACAACACTTCGAAAGACGATCGAGAGGTAAGTGAATTTTTTTAAAAAGGCACTGCTTTTACATTAAAATTGCAAGGGAAAATCCATTTCTATGCTAGTAGTCTAGAAATTTATTGAGCTCTTCCATGGCAAATTGAAAACACCCTCATACACGACCGGAAGTATCCGTGAATATGGCAATATGCCCAGTTGAACGCTCAAACGAACTCTAACAAAAAATAAAAATTTACATTGTTTAAATGGAAGAATTTGCAACTTTACCACGTAATATAAAAAAAAACTGGGCCATATTTTGAAAATTTGAATATAGCAATCTCATCTAGATACAATTGCCTGTCGATAACCGCAAAAATCACGAAAATCGGCCCAATAGAACGCTGGAGCTAAGCGTTACCAGATATGCTTTGGGAGGTCTCGGAGCTTATAGGATACATAGAGTATCTGCTGATACGGAAGGAAAATCGAAAGTTTTCAAGTAATAATAACATTTATAGAGCTATCAGACTCGCATGAAACGTGAAAAATTCACGTCATTTTTTGTGGCGTGGCACGTTTTGTGGTATATCAATCGATCTGTCATTTAAATCTATGGAAGAGGATCAGTAAACAGGGTGTTCGTGACAAACACCTTAATACTCGATTCTTTACCATGGCTTCGAATGTGGAAATGTCGATAATCAATCATTCATACCTCGCCACTGGTCATTTTATAAATCAAATGAACGTGCCAGCGGGGGAGGGGTGCATAAGACGTGTGGTGGGGTGTTGAATACATTTTTTGGGAAAGCCCTGTCAACACTACTAGCAAAAGTTCACGGAACTTTGCGCGAAAGTTAAGTTTCGTAAACCTATCTCTGTGGGGATAAGGCCTTCCATTCATAAGAAATGAACGAAAAAATTATGAAAGAACAAACATAAATGTGGATTCATGATTTTAACTTCCGCCGCCGCGCCTCGCAGACCGCACCGTGTTTGACGCAATGCGTTAAGTATTCACGCAGTCCTGTAGGCGCTATGCGTCTCACGCTGATCGCACTGTGTTTGCCGCAATGCGTGAGGTATTCATGCATTCTTGTAGGCTCTATCCGTTTCACGTTGTCCGCAATGACCGCACTATGTTTAATGTAATGCGTGAAGTATTCGTGCAGTCTTGTAGGCGCTAATATGTGTTACATGCCGATCGCCGCGCCGAGGGCTTTTCCTTTTCATCTCAAGTCCTCGTCATCGTTTCTCTAAGTAAGTCGCGCCGTTCCAGGCCAAATTGCGTGTTTGGTTTCTCTCTTAACTCGACTAATTAAAGGTGCTGTCTCTTGTATCACTGAAAGACGACAAAAGTAGAAATTACTATACTCTCAGAAAATTAGAGATTTTGTCGCCTTTTCTCGTTTGTAATTTTTTTTTCTAAAGCCGAATTTTTTTTATACCTACATTTAAAAAATTGCAAAATTTGCCGCCCCCTATAGATTTGCCGCCATGTGGCCACCTCCTTAATCCGGCCCTGGTTGATTACTTTGGTCTCGTTTATTTTCAGCACCCGATAACACTCAATGATTTGACTGGAGAATGGACCTGGTCAGTCTGCGCTCCAGCAGCATGCTCCGAGGCAGACGTGAGGAAACAACTCGAGCTCAGCCTCCAGAACATTGCGGGACGCATCCAAAATGTTTTCTGCATGGGCTTGTTGGGAACTGCTGGTCTACCAGTCGCATCTTGGTTCATGATGTAAGTTCCCCATGAATATATTTTTAGTGGCTGAAATTTGAATATCTCTTAACATCTAAAGGGATCACGAATGAAGGAATCAAATTGTATATTTTAAGGGATCGAGGCACTTGTAATTTCGAATGGAACTTGTCCCAAAGGCCAGGCCTGCCACCTCCCATCTCGGGCTCTGGTACCAGTTCTAAGGCCCAAGCTCCACGAATGCCACCCCTCTCCCCTCGCCCCCTTACCACCAGGGAAATAATTTGTAATATCATGAAAATCAGTAAGGTTAGAATAAAGATACAGTAAATACAGTAAATAAATGCTCGTTAATTTTAAAGAGAGAAGTTTATTCATATTCAAAAAAGAAATCATGTACTAAAAATCTTGAAAATAGATAGAAATCTTCAAAGAAGTAAGAATAGCTCTACAGTGCCCCAGCGTGTTTTTGAAAACTGATTGACCTGCAAAATTTTCAGGGTAAATTTTTCACTTTTCCCTACGAGACTGGGGTTATCGGTGAATTCGAAGTAGTGTGTTCCGGGCCCCGCGGGGAATACTTCGGGGGTACGGTGTTCGATGGTACATCGCGCATAAAAGAGTGTCTTGGGGGTACAGAAAGACACTCCAGAGTTATCTCTTATTATTATCTCTCTCACTGGAGTTATCTCCTCGGCAGAATACTAAAAATTGACACTTTTCAGGATCGATTTGGAGCAAAAACCCGGAAAACCCTCAGGAAAAAATATTGAAGTTGACGGAAATATTGCGCGGTTATTTTGTAAAATACCTCACGACTAAAAAAGAGACCAAGTTAAAGTGGGGGCGGGGGAGGGGCAGGCTCCTCAGATCATCTTCGTTCCACCTTTATTTAAGATAGATTATGTAAAAAACGTTTATACTAGAGCTCATTTCACCGCCTTAATATTTGAGTTTATATGGGTAAAAAGTGCATTTCGACGGCGTAAGTCCGCAATCTCAAATCTCGTTTGCGGTGTCTGAAAATCTCCATTCTATGTTATTTTTTTAAAGGAGAACAAATCGACATCATTCCTTGAAGTTTTCGCAGAATTTTCTTCGCATAGAGAGGAAAAATCACGACAGTTATGGGGAATTGCCGTTTTAGTAGTTTTTCGTTTAAAAAGTAAAGTATGACAGGAAGTCTGCGACGTCGCAAACCGAGTTATGCATGATTGCCGACTTACACCGTCGATTTGTGCCAAAAACCGGATATAATTTTCCAAATTTTGAAAATTTTTCTCATTAGCGTTGAATATCTTATTTTACAGTGTATTATAAATATACAAGCGATTTTATAATTACTGATTTTTGCTGTCCCGGCAGTTACTTTACATCTGGATACGTTGCATTCATTCTGATGGCGACATGGATGGAGCTCAAATCGATCAAGATACCTCACCAACCCACAAATTCAGGTAAACTAGCACGTTCTATGGTTGTAATGTGAAGCTGGGATGAATCGGAAACACCGGGGGAGTCGCTCTGTTCTTTAAAAAAGTCATAAATGCGCTAAAATAACTGGTATGCCGGTAACAACGAGTCCGTCAAATTTAAGGATTGTATGTCAATGTGTCGATGTAAAACTTCACAAGCAGTGTTCGAAACTCACATTGAGGTTTCAGGAGCCATGTGGTGCATCAAGGTCGATTTTTAGGGGCCATTAAGGATTTTTGAGGGGCCAAATTGACTTTTAGCCTATGTATCAAGGCGCATTTAGTGACATGTTACACGCAAGATGTTTTAGTTACAGAACTAGTAGCTGTTACTTGGGGGAAAGTTCGAAAAATCACCAAACAGATAAACTATGATTTTTTTGAGGGGGGGGGGGAATTTTTAGGGGTCACGATGGCATAGAGCCTTCATTTTTTAGGCACCATGACCGATTTCTTAGGCGCATTTGGCGCGTTGGCGCATGTGAGTTTCGAACGCTGTCACATGGTACAGAAGTTGCGACCCTTGTTTGGAGCTGTCGACCTAACGATACAAATTTGCATTTTACAGTGATACTTTCATTTTCTCTCATAAGGAATGGGAAAGCTTTACTGAAGACTACTCCGCCAGGCCTCATGCTCGACAGCATCCAAGGGATCAGGGTTTTATCAACGCTTGCTGTTTTCTTTTATCATCAGGCAGTTTTTTACAACTATGCAGCTAATATCAATCACTCAGAAGTCTTCCATAAGGTAAGTCTGCCAATCACACATCAGGGATGTTTTTTATTTTTTTCTTAGAACTTTGAGCTGGTTTAAGATTCATAAGTATGAATGAACCACCGGAAAGGGTGAAATTAACGTATTACAAAATATATTTCTACATCCGAATTTCATGAAATACGCGTTGACGAAATTGAAAATTTCAAAAATCAACTGATATAAGCGTTTATTGTTTCCATTTCAATTAATTGACCAATCTTCACACCTCCACGGAAAAACGAAAATCAAAATGAACGTAAGTCAATCAGAGTCCATGCAAAATAGGTTTACGCCCTTTAAAAGTGCGGACGAAGATGCTTTGTTTTCGATTCCGCATGGAAAGTGCGAAAATGTAATTACGAAAGTACAAAAATGATGACTCTGGCATTATTCTTGATCATAAAATTCAATCCTGAAATTCATCGGTAATTAAGTAAAACATATATATTATAGTAATTTATAATATTTCTAATGAAAAATATACTGAGATAATCCTCGTTTCTCCTTTTATTTAGCTAACACATAATGTACTGGGAGTGACGCAACTTAATGGGGTCCTAGCAGTCGACTGTTTCTTTTTGATGGGCGGCACGGTCTTGGCTTTTGGTTTCTTGAGGGAGAGAAAGGCGCATATCCAATTTTCATACTTCAAGCATGCGCTATATCGATACTTAAGGTAAAATCTAAGGCACAAAGATCTCACATGTGACTAAGGCATCATAATTTTCGAGACTCTCACACGGATAAAAAAAACTTGTCTCCGGCTGCCCTGGTAAAAATTGGCGATAGGAGCTGCGTTTCAAAATACCATAGGAGTTCTTATAGCCGACTGAAGAAGGCGATAGAAAATCATATAGCTGGCTGTAAAAAGTGGAAAAAAATCTTACGGCCGGGCTACACGAAGTGATAAAAAATTATACAGCCGGGCTACAGTTCCTAGCGCCGGGTTTTACACTTTATCGCCTGGCAGTTGATTTTTCGCTATCGGCTATAAACGGCTATAGGAAATTGTGTAGAAATTCGTGTGCTTTGGAAATCCTTAAGTTTGTACGGAATCACCTTAATATTTACAAAACGCACATTATATTTTCCTTTACCACATATTTTTTTCATCAATTAAAATTAGATTAATCCATACAGAGTGTGCAAACATTTCAAAGTCATGAGTTGAAAAACGCTGACTTCACTAGATTAAATATTAGAGCCTAACACAAAGCGGAGCGGCGGTGCACTGGCGCCTACAAACCTGACAGGGATACTTCACGTATTGCGCAATGCGTGAAGTATCCCCGTTAGGTTTGTAGGCGCCTATGCGCATTTCGCGCTGGCTGCCCGCCCGCCGCGCCGCGCCGCACGGCGCTTGAAGCAACTACTTCACACCAGAGGTATTGCACAGTATCATACGAAATTGAAGGCGCTCCAACATATTAGGAATGGTAGGCATCCTTCTAAAGTATGGAGCTTTCCTCGCAAAATAAATATGGCCCAAAAAGAGAGCGGTGCGGTAGTCCAAAAACTCACCAAGTGCTAGCATCCGTAATTAGTAACGTTTAGCATACACTTTATCGCCGGGCTGTTGCTTAATCGCCATCGGCTATAAAAGGCTATAGGAAATTGTGTTGCCGGCTATAGAAGCTATTGGAAATCTTACAGCCGGCGGTAGGTCTACGGTATTTTGGAACACAGATTGCTACTGCCAATTTTTACCAGGGTGATGGAGAAAGTAATTGGCAATGTTTACGCAAAAACTTAAAAAACCTAAAATCATTAGCCATCATCCTAAAAAATCGAGGTGAAACACAAATAAGCTAAAATCTTGTGTTCTAGTGTATCTGACATTTGAGGTACTTATTCTTAATCCAATTATTCCTGATCGGTACTGGGTGGATGTCCGTATGGCATAATGAAAAAATGAAGGCAAAAAAATGATAAAATGAAGAAAATGGCGAATTTCTTTGTTCTTTTTTTCGCCCTCACACAATTAGAGCTTCAACAGGAAGTAACACTTTCGTATGTGCCTTTCAGAATAACTCCTGTGTACTTCTTTGTCATACTGATCGACATGACGGTGTTCTACGACATCGGAACCGGCCCTTTTTGGAACACATTTGCTGCGGGTCTCAGGGAAAGTTGCCGCAACTACTGGTGGGCCAACATCTTGTACATAAACGACTACTTTTATGGCGGTGGAGCGGTAAGTCAATAAGTATTGCTGAAGGTGGAAAACATTATGACCTCATTATAATAAAACTTGTTAAAAAGCAGAGTATGACGCATGTATGCACATGCACAATAAGTTAATAGCCTAGGGTGCTGAATGTTTATAAATAAAATAACTAACTAACTAAATTAACTGATCGCGCGTACTTGCTGTATGTCCGAAACTGCTGATCGCAGAAGCTTGAATTTCAACGCCCTATTAGAGTTTGACGTTTTAGGACATTTTATTTCTTTGGGCGTGGAACTCGCGGAGAAATCGTGGTTTTAAAGGAGTGTCGATGCGCGCGAAAGAATGGAGATGTTGCATGTGAGGGATTTGCGATTTGACCATTGATTCTCATGTAAAAGTTCGCGAAAAACACGATGGTGCCACTGGTTTTCTCTGAAATCATCTCCCAAGCTCAAAAAAAGCTCTCAAAGTGAGGCCAAAATGGAGGGGATATCCCACACTACCCTGAGAGTCCACCTCTACATCAAAATAAACTCTCCTTGCAAAGATAGGGAGCAAATACAGTAGCAGGGCTGCCACTTTATTTGGGGACTCCATAACTGAAAACACGGCAACCCTGCTAATGTATTTGCTTCCTATCTTTTGATGGAGAGTTTGTTTTGATGTAGAGGTGGACTCTCAGGGTAGGGTGCGGGATATCCCCTCCATTTTGGCCTCACTTTGAGAGCTTTTTTGAGCTTGGGATATGATGTCAGAGAAAACCAGTGGTACTATCGTGTTTCTCGCGAACTTTGACATAAGAATCAATGGTCAAATCGCAAATCCCTCACACATGCAACATCACCATTATACGATTATTCGAGCAGATTCATGTATCTTGTTCTTGATAACAGTGCGCGAAAGATTCAGATAGTCAGCTGATACCGTAGCCTGATCAATTTTTCCTCGTATTTTTCGGGATAACCCAATTGGACATGGGTTTCGGTGCAAAAAAAATTTCTCAGCAACGACGTTTTTGATCATGACCAATCAACGACTAATCGTTCCTTGACCGGACGGAGCGAAAGTAATAAAGCTGCTGCGAGCAACTATTCGTGCTTTCAAGCCACTCATATTGCCGTCACAATAATCGAAGGTGAATTTGACAGAATGAGCGACACGCAGTGAAGATAGTAATCGACAATCAATTGAATCCAGGAAAAATCGAATCGCATTCAGCTGAAAGGAGCCAAGCCACATCAGCTATAGCCGAATTTAATCGGGCAATTTAATTACATGAAAACGGTTATGCGGATTTTCGTGCAAATCTTGGTGAATTTTTTGCATAGTACGAAGCATATTCCTTGAAATCGTCGAAACAGTCCGAACAAACGTGCTCTTGTAAAGGATTGAATTGTCCAGTTTGGAAATAGCTGATGTAGCTTGGTAACTTTTTGCGAAACGTGGTCCGATTGGTCTTTTATCGCCTACGATCATTATTATTTTCATTTACTCATCATTATTACGTACGACCAATCAATTAATTAATTAATTAATTACATGGAACGTTCAGTCATAGACGCGTGCTGTAGCGCACCGTGCGAAGCACATACCAACAAACCCCTAGCTAATGTTAAGAATGCGACTATTTTCATTTTAAACTCATTTAGATCAAGTCTCATGCTTTTTAATCTTTGATGTCGTCGATTTCAGTGCCTAGGATACACGTGGTACTTGGGAGCCGATATGCAATTTTATTTGATCGCCCCCCTCTTTCTGTTCGTATTGCTGAAGGATCGTAGATGCGGCATTATCCTCATTATATTCACGTGTCTTGCGTCATGCGCCTATATATTTTCGATGACTTATATTCACGATTATCCTTGGACTCTCACCATCAATGTCGACTACAGGTGAGCAACCATGTGATTTGTAACTTGAAACTCCACATGGTTTGATGAAAAATGTTCGGCAAAAGAAAATGGGAACGAGGTGCATGGGCCAAAGAACCGATTCAGAAGTGTATTTTCACCGATTTGAGTTCTTACGGGAAAATCAAAGAAACCACATCTGAACCGGGTTTATCAGGAAGGAACCAACCACATTTACGAACAAATTCAGTAAAGAATGTTTTTGAGTTCCTTTCTGTCGTTTGTTTTCTCCTGCAAAAATCCGAAAGTCGAAAAAAAAAATTCGTTTGTGAAAAGAGGGGCTAAAGTTTATTTTCTACATTGAGCCTTATACAGGAATAAAACTTCAACCCTCTTTTTCACAGTTTCAACTTAATGTGGTTTGGTTCGTTTCTGGTAAACTCGGTACATCTGAAACCTCGACGTTCTGTTTTAACATCGGTATGAACTTGCGACGTTTCCTTATTTTATCCGACTTCCGTCATTGACTCTCTCCACTGGACGCCGCACGGTGGTTCGAGTCAATTAGTGAGGTCGAACATTAAATTTTTGACTAAAACTGCAGATTTTGATGTTACTTTCGTCACAATTAAAACTTTCAGGGGTGCTTGTAGTAGAAAACTTCACAAGGAAACCATTGAAACCACTTTTAGAACCTCAAAATTTTGTATAAACGGAGTTACAAGCTTTTAAAGTTTCCATATTTTGTCCGACCTCTCCTATCGACTCGATCAACCGTGCACCGCTGGTGAGGCTGTCCGTGTCTGAAGTCAAAACGCCTACACTTCCGTGTGTATGCAACACGGACATCCATGAGGCTTGAATAGTTGCATCCACGCGTTATATTGAATTTTGTTTGATATCCGTCGGATGCGACACAAACTGAAGCTTTGATTGTTTCTCCTATACTGTGACTTATTTCCAGCCCCGATATTGTAATTGATTGCTGATTTTTTAAGTGAAATTTTCAATTCTTTAAGAAATACATTATTTAAATGCATTACAACGTCGCTGCCCCTTGAAATCAGGGGAAAACCATGTGGCTGCTCCAATACTGCCCCATTGCCTGCGGCGTATATTTTGCAAATTTAAAACTCCCGTATCTTGGGCCTGGTGTTGAACATTAAAAACCATTTTTACACATTAGATCCTTTGCTAAATATGCCGAGAATGTAAATATCCCGATTTTTGTACATGTGGTGAATGTGAGAAAACAGTAATTCCAGTTGTCACAATGGAACTCCGATTTTAAGGGAAAGAATGTCATCAGGCAAACGGCAGTGCCTGTTGTTTTAAATAGGAGTCCGATGAGAAAATCAGGAAAATTTTTCTCCGAGCAATTTTTATCCTGAACGAAAAATAATTAACACCCGATCGAAGTAACGTAACTCCATTCCAAAGTTGCAAAATTGACTCACAATCCAATTTTTTACAATTGTTTACTGTAAAGTTTTTGTCAACATTTTCTCTTATTTTTGCACGCGGTCGGAGGGAAAATCAGTGAAATCTTCAGCTCCATTCACCTAAGATATTCATAGCAAAGATGTAATTTGTGAAGGCACATTTGGCAACATTGAAATGTAGTTACGTCCTTTCGTGAGGGAAACAACGATTTTCCTCCAGGAAGAGGTCTAGAAATTTTACCTTCTTTCTCTATTTTCACCAGGGATGCAGAAAAAGGCCACTATCAAAACGATATTTACTTGCCAGCACATGCAAGACTATCCCCGTATATGATCGGCTTGCTTTTGGGGTATCTACTGAACCGCCACAAGGAGGAGAAAATTGAGATGAGTTATGTAAGTAAACATTTTCATCTTTTAGGAAACACTTATAATCTGGACGTATCTATGATACATGAAACTACGCGCAAAAGGAAAGATGGGGTGTGCTAGTGGAAGCAGGATAAGAAACAATGTAAAAGTGGATATCGACGGTGAAACTACCAAACCACGTATCTCGTTTGCGGTGTTTAAAAATCTACGCTCACATTTTATTTTTTTGAAGTAGACCAAATAAATATCATTCCTTGAAATTTTCACAGAATTTTCTCCGCACAATGAGGAAAAAGCACAGAAATTTTCAAGACTGGACGTTAAGTAGTTTTTCATTTAAAAAATAAAGTATGACAGGAAGTCTGCGACGTCGCAAACCGAGATACGTGGTTTGGTAGTTTCACCGTCGATATAGTTCCTTTTGAGAAAATGGGAAAGTGAGATTTTCAAGCATATCAAAAGAAACTGAGCGCTAACTCGTGAGCCGTGGGCATGTGACAAGAGCCTTGTGGACAGGGCTCATGAGTTAAAGACCGCCATTCCGATCGTCGTCTCTCTCATCATTGCCGCTGACGTTACTAGCGCTTTGTATTTCCCATTCATTCTCATGGCCCGGTCACTAACTGGCACACCCCATCTTACCACTAGCACATAGTTCCATTTAGTATGAATACGTCCATCAGCAGGCCGGTTATTGAAACTGATAGACAAAGCAATAGACAAAGGAAGACAAAAGGGATTTGGAGGGATCCTATTGGTGGAAGTGAGTGGTTAAAATGGACAAAGGAGATAGGTAGTAGACTAACTAACGGCAACCGACCAGAGCCCCGACAGTTAATCTAGCATTTTCCCTCTTAGTCCGTAAAGATCACCAGCTTCAACCAATGGAATTGCTGCATACTCCCTATGTCTTTTTTGTCCATAGCTTTGTCTATCAATTTCAATAATCGGCCCGCTGGTCAAGAAGGAAACAATAATTAAGGGAGAAACTGGGTCAGTTGAGCATTTGGAGCGGTAAAGTATTCGACCAAATGAGCTTCAGGAATTGAGGATATCGATGGCCAAAGTGCAAAATCACGTATCTCCATTTTTGACGTTGCTGACTTCCGCAGTCCTGTTATACATTTGTTTTCAATGGAAAACTAATCAACACAATTTCTTGAAAAATCCTTTGATTTTTCTTCTCTGTTCGCAGAATATTCTATCTGGGACTCTGAGCTACGATGTTGCCGTGATTCCTTTCGAAAAAAATACAATTGAAGCGGAGATTTTGAAACAACGCAATTGGAGATACATGGTTTTGCACTTTGGGCATCGATGTTCAGGGTGTAAGGTGATTCGTCAAGCTCAAAAGAAGTGGTCGAACTGGCACGCGATATATCGCATCTTTTAGGTCAAAAATGTCGGCAGATTTTGAACTTTTAGCGAAAAAAAGGATGATAGCCCCTGCGCGTAAGCCTAAAAAATCATTCTAAACCCCAAAATCGGCAAAATTTAGAGACTTGAAAGCAGAATAGTGTTAGAAAAAAACCTCGGATTTGAATCAGCTATCGATTTCTGTATTGAATGCAAGGTTTTTTTCCTAACACAATCCTGCTTTCATTTCTCTAAATTTTGCCGATTTTTGGGTTTAGAATGATTCTTTAGGCTTACGCGCAGGGGCTATCGTCCTTTTTTTTGGCTAAAAATTCAACATCTGCCAAGATTTTTGACCTAAAAGATGCGATATATCGCGTGCCAATTCGACCACTTCTTTTGAGCTTGACGAATCACCTTAAGAATCGTTCTGTGACTGGACTGAACACTTTTTTCAGGAACGACGATTTATCGCATTCATCCATTGACACCAAGTTGAGCCAAACAGCAGCGAGTATATTTTTCATCGGATTTTAAAGATTCAGTTTTTCATGAGAGAGATGTCCTCATACATAATGAACTCCTTTTTTCGCGTGCTGCCACAAAAATATATCAAAGATGTCCACACGGAAGAAACGTGTTAGGGCTAATCCCTAAGATTGTGGTACTACTCTAATGTTGGATGATTCAGGCATTTCCAATTAATTGTCGTATAGTACCATGACATTTGGGTTGGTAACCTAATTTATTAGGGTACTACCATAATTAATTAGAAATGTCCATATCATCTACACAGAAAAAAAATTCTCGGCGTTTTTACCACGGTCCGTTGGTACCTTTACCATCTCACTTTGTTTACCAATAATTGGTAATTTTACCAAGACAGACTGGTAAGCTTACCTAAAAACCGGTATTTTTACTGTTTTTTTCAGGTCAAAATGCCACTTTTATTGGTAATCAATTCCCGGTAGCTTTGCCATTTTATCTCGGTAATTTCTACCACTGTCGGTAAAAAATATTGGCGTTTTACCAAGGTAATTTTACCGAGATTTCTCGGTAAAATTACCAATTCCATAAATGGTAATTTTACCAAGAAAAAACTGGAATCTAATAGAACCCTGAATTCTTGGTAATTTTACCCTTTTCTTAGTAAATACGCCGAGATTTTTTTTTTTTCAGTGTACGCCGGAATTTGACACGAATATTTTTTAACTTAATTTTTCCCCTTTTAGTGGACGAGAGCGTTCGGTTGGACTATCGCCATAATCGTCTTGGTGTCTATTCCATACGGATTGGCCTATTACTATTGGTTTGGATCGGGGCCTCTCCTCTCGGCTTTGTACAGCTCTCTACATAGACCGCTTTTCGTATTAGCTATTTCTTGGATTATTTTTGTCTCTGACCAAGGCTATGGAGGTAAGGACCATGCAGTGTTTATGCGTGCTTATAATTTTAACAATTTTTCTAAGAACAAATTACATGGTTTGTTTAAATTTTCCGGACTAGCACTTCAATTAAAGAACCGAGCGACCTATGAAGTTAATTGTGGTCTAAATTTATGATGGAAACAACTATAATCCGCGTTGTTCGAATATCGCCACATTTCTTTACTTTCGTTGAAGTCTCCAGCAAATTTTGGCGCAAATATATTATAGAGCATTAATCCTTGAATTTAACTATATATTCAAACTTGAATTCAACTATAATCCGTGTTGTTCGAATATCGCTACTTTCCTTTACTTTCGTTAAAGTCTCCAGCAAATTTCGGCGCAAAGATATTATAGAGCATTAATCCTTGAATTTGGATGCTTATTTGTGTGTGCGTTTATGATAAAATAAATTGAATCAAAAGGAACTGTATGCATAGGGTTTGAGTGCTACATAGTTTCTTTTGACTTTGTACATTTTCACTGAGTTCCTTTAAGAATACGTCCAATTAAGAGAAGACATTGGAACAAATCGATTAAAACTAATGAATTTACCCGATTTGAACGAAAATGGTTAAATTTTGACAGCTTGAATAGGGGAAATACGGCAACCGCACATATGTACGTCTTTTTTTTTTTTTTTTTTTTTTTTTTTTTTTTTTTTTTTTTTTTGTTAAACAATGGGTCAGTCGTGTACACAGAACATGAGAGAATAAAATGTACAGCATTGGATTTTTATGAGAAATTTGAGTTTCATTTTTCGGCTCTTGGGCACGCGTGATAATCTATTTTACCGACTTGTGCATACCTACAGCACAGGATTCAGTGTTTGATTTTTAAATCTTTCATTCGCATGGAATGGAAAAAATAAAATGAAATTTCGTTTGTTTTAGCATTTGAAAATGCCCTCAAAAAGTCAGGAACTGCATTTCAATGTGCCATTTTTCTCATTTCAGGCCCTATCAACGCATTTCTCTCGTCAAAGCCCTTCCAGATTTTGAGTAGACTAAGCTTCAGTTTTTACTTAATTCACAGTTTCTGCATGGAATATGATTACGGGACAAAACGGACCGCTGGGTATTTTTCCTATTATAATATGGTAAGTGTGACAATAATTGTATAAGTGTTACCATTTCATGTTTGTTTAACCGCCTGCAGCCATTTCTTGAGTCTTAAAAACTCGCTAAAAATTGTAAATTAAAGAAAAAAATTACCATCTAAATTTCATAGTTTTTCACGACTTCCGCAATTTTATTGCAAAAGATGAAGTTGCACAATCTTAGCATCATTGCAATGCTAGTGGTTCCTTTTTGCAAAATGCAATCCAACTCTTCTTCTTCTTTCTTACTAATGAATCGTAAAAACGGAAATCTAATTTTTCCTCTCTAAAATGTGTTACAGCTCCAGGCATCAATATTTCACATCATTATTCTCCTCCCTATCGCCGCTGTACTGTCACTCGCCTTGGAGTACCCGATCATTCATCTTAGTAAACTAATACTCGCGAAGAAACGAGCTGAAATTCCAAACTCTATGCACCCAATTGATGACAGCAATAAAGTGCAAGTGGAGGAAACAGGGACTCTGCAAACATCGACAAAGTAGAATTGAAAACTCTGGTATTAGTTATTTAGTCAGAATTTATGTTCTGCATGTTCACTTCAACTGGAGATCCGGAACGCAGCCTGTGCACCACATTTTAAAATTAGGAACTGAAATTTTTGACGCAGTTTTGAAACAACGTACGTGCCATTACTTCCCGTATGCACATACGTGCTCATACGGATGAGCCGAAAATTGCAGTTCCTAATTGCAAAACGTAGGTAATCCATTGGAGGCACTGAGCGCAAGAAGGACAGAAGTTCTGTCTTCGGAACCATGAACGGGAACCGTCAAAACTAAAACCAAAAAAATAAATAATAAATAAAAAATAAAATATGGCTTTCTGTAAGGGGGGTGGTTTTTGGGTTTTTGATAAAGATGAACAGCTTGATTGAGGCTGATGAGGGCTTCATTGACACATATTTATTCACTATTTCATTTGTTGTTTCACACTTATATATTTATATATACAGATCTAAGCTCTAAGAGTGGGCTATGAGGTGACACGGGTCTAGGCCGTGAGGAGGGGCTATGAGATGGGGGGGGGGGGGGGGTGCGGGTCTGAGCCGCGATTGTGAACGCGTCCGGGGCGTGATGGAGATACGGGTCTGAGCCGTGATGGTACGGGCCTCAGCCCTGATATTTACGGGTCTGGCCGATGACTACGACTGTGGGTCTTCTTCAAATCTGGATCAATACTGGTGCCCGGCCTATGCCCCGGCCACTATTTATAGTCGATCGCCGACTCCCCACCAGGCTGGTTTGCAGCTTTGCGATAGGGAACCGAGCGATCGAACTGCAACTAGCGGCCGAAGTCGGAATTGCGTCGAGCGGGCGCGTCAGCACGCCACGCGCATTACTGAATGCGAGTGCCGCGCCGCCACACTTCCTACGCAGCTAAATGCGTGAATGATCAACTAATATTTGAATGGGACCGTTTAAAATTTACACTACCCAGGGGGGGGGGGGGGGGGTTCGGCATCCCTCAACTGAATAAATAAAATAATAAAAAAAGGGAGAAAGTTCAATCAGCGCGAACTGATAAGCGCGTCAGCGACGTGCCCAGTCCGTGCCGTGAGTCAAGTTGAGTGTCAGCGCAAACTTTTCAGCGCACCTAAAAGATGTGCCAAGTTCGTGCCGGTAGCTGCTCAATTGACTCAGTGAGTCAGGAGTCAGGGTAAAGTGATGTAACACGTGGGTTATATTGCACACTTAAGATTTATTTGACGAAGTGCAGTACATCAGGTGTACCCACTCTGCGGCAAATAAATGGAATTACTGGACAGGCCAGGAGCCTCGAATTCTTGTTAAGACTTCTGTTTAAGCAGAATACCAGTGGTTAATTAATATTTTTATAGGAAACTAGTGGAAGAAAAAGGCCTGTTTAAGCGTACCCATCAGTGTTGTCAGTATTCACTTCAGATGCCTCGTTTATTTATTTTCAATTTTATGCTATGATGAACCCTAGGGAGCCCTGTAGGAAAAGTAAGTCAATTAATTTTTCCAATTGATGTTTTTCATTTAACCTATTTTTACTGATGTGTCGTTTCAAAATTGATATGATATTTATGCGGGGGTGGAGGCAGCGTCGCCTCCGTGCTTAGGATACTGGACCGGTGTGGGGGGGGGGGGGGGGTGTGCAGTGTAAGCAAAGAAGGATATTTAGCTGCTTCAGCTGAAATTTGCTGCTTCAGTTTTTCCCTTAAATTGCTAGTTTCAAAGGCAATTGGTGCCCTGCGCGCCACTGACTCTTTGTATGCACAAGTTAAGTCTCCGCAGGACCAGGTGTTGTCTTGAGGAGGTGCATCTACCTCTCCGAGATACCACGTTCTATCCCCAAAGAGTTTGCTTCCAGCGCTCCGGAGCAGTTGCAGTTCGGTGGTTTTGTCACTCGGAATACTGTCAATCCAATAGATTGAGCCTTCCTTCAAGTCATAAACCGCCAATGCCCAATGGTTTTTATTGCAATGAACTGAAGTTAGTCTTCATTCTAGCTCATTGATGTTGCTTTTTTTGAACCTGCCCTGAACCGCAGTTGGACCTCTATTTATTAGAGATGTGAAGGAATAGGTGTCCAAGGTTTTTATCCTAGGGAGGCTGGTTTTGATGTTCGCCCTTTGTTGGAGTAACTCGAAGTAGGCTATTATCACTTCGTCGCTGAGCCATTCCTTGGATGATAGTAACTGCATGGACTCATCGCTTATTTGTATCTTCATAGTCGCGTTTGAGAGTTGACGGAACAATTCACCGCTAGTTAAATTGTTTCTTCGGTCTTTTAGTTTCGGGTAGAGGGCGTCCCTTGACAGTTCTTTTGGACCTCCTGGAGAGTGATAGAATGGGGTGATATAGTTGTCACTATCATCATCCATTCGTCACAGGCGCTGACATGGGGGTGACAGGTCAGGAGACGGAGGGAGAGGGGGGTCCACCTAGGAATAAGTCAAAATAGCACCGCAGAGTGGTGAACATACAAAAATGAAACTAAATGAATATCTTATGGATTATGAATACAATTGTAAATGTCTGAAAGTAGATAAATTCTTAAAATAACATAAGTAGGTCGATTGAAACCCAACGTACTCCCGACTGTGAACTACTCGAGGGTTCGCAATAAAACTAAAAACACTGATCATCGAACCCGATAATAAAACTTACGTATATTTACAAGTACAATAGGACGTAATGCTATCAAAAGAAGGGAAAATTATAATATTAAACTGTTCAGAGCCGTGTGTGAAATGGCTGAAATGACATGGTCAATGTTTGAGGATCCGACCAAAAATCGCACTCAACGGTGAGAATTTGACTTAGAGAAAAACCCCCCGTTGGATTTCCGCCCGGTTCCTATATCCGGTCAGCGCGAATTATCAGCGCACCCGCAGGCGTGCTGGGTTCGGGCTGCGATACTTTACTCGAGAGTCAGCGCAGATCGGCAGCGCACCAAGCAGCGTGCTGAGATTTGTGCTGGATGCTTCGAGGAGTATCGGACCTGTAAAGGTGGATCGATAATGCTGAAGGCAAGTGTAAGTTTCATCAATTTATTTCAGGAGTTAGTACATCAAGCAGATAGGCTAACTCGGCAGTGGACTTGTGCCTCCAGGAGCTCGCGTGTTTCTCCAAGAGGGTGACGACGGGAACTGACGGGCCAAGGGTGGGCCCGGCGCGGCCAAGGGCTGGTGCCTCGGCGCACAGCGCATGCGCACTCCAGTCAAGGCTAGAGTGGGGGTGAGTTTGTGGAGCTGCAGGGACGCGGAGGTCCCGGCAGGAGTGTGAGAGAAGGGGGGGGGCTGGATACAACCGTCCACCACCGAGTTGCCTGAACTACAAAAAAAGTGCGAAATAAAAATTCTTTAAATCTCTATACAATATTCAACATCCTCCCGCCCGCGAACACGTCCGGGTTCGCCAATAATGAGTTTGTTTCTTACGGATGTGAGCTTTAGAGGGTCAGCGATCCGTTTCTCTCTTTTCGTTCCATCTTTTTTCTATGTTGAAAAAGCATTCTTCTTTTTGCTTGTTGTCTTTTTCGGCATTTTCTTCCTGTGGGCTTCCTCTTCCCTTGACGTTGGATCCCGGCGGTGCATGTGGCGTCTTCGACTTGGCTACCGCTGATTGTCATGAGGTGTTCAGCGTTGTCTTCTCCACCGTTTTGACCTTCCGAGGATCTCACTGTTTGAATGGAGAACTGATCGGAGGTTGAGTCACGTTGGCGGCATTTCTGGATTAACGGCCAGTGCGCATCAAATAGTCGTCGCGATTCTAGAGGGGTTAATGACCAGTTCACAGGCCTAGAGTTGGGTTCACTTTCACTTCGATTGGGTTGAGGCTCCTCAATTTCGGACCAGGGCGTCATCATGTCGAGTATGTTTTCTTCGTGCACTATTGAGGATTCATACGTTGCGTTACGCTCCCGCCACTCCTGGAGCGTGATTTTTCGGCGTGGCTGATCGAAAGCATGCCAGTCCACATCAAAATCTCCTCGCATGTTACGCAAGGTGAAGTTCTCGTACCAACTTGACTTTTCCATCGCACAAGCGCGCACAGAACAGTAAAAACACAGGAAAGATGAGGACACTCGGACGTTTCGGTGGGTACTGAGCTGGTCCTGAGCCGTTGACGATGATCATAGGTCTTCTTTTTCACACACGTGGTGAATTTGAGCTGGACGAGTGAGAATTAAACGAGGAGTCCAGGGTAGTTTCTCTTCTCTTTTTTTGACTAGGCTTAAAAGTGACCGTGGGTAAAGTGACATTTATGGGTTTCAGATGGAGCAGAGTGTGAGTCCTGCATCCCGCAGTAAACCGGTGCATGGGACCATGTGTTGCGGCAGCGGGGGAGTGGGAGTGAGAATGCTCTCACTGGTTCGGCAACGGATAAATTTTTACGGCCGGACGCTTCAGGGTGCCCCGAGTAATTCGGACAGTGACTACCCTGACAATGCCGTCCTTCCCGTGGTGAAGTTCGTCAACGATGCCTTTTTTCCAGCTTGTAGGCGCTGTTTCATCAGCAATGAGGACCGCTGAGCCAATTTTCAAGTCTTCCTGGCGTTGTTGCCATTTTGATCGCTGTATTAAAGTATGAAGGTAGTCTCTTGACCAAATTTTCCAAAACTGCTGCGTGATTTTTTGCGTCAACTGCCAGCGAGACAAGCGGTTCGTTGCTGTGTCAGAAAAGTCATACTCGGGTACGGCTAGTAAGGGGGCGCCGATCAGAAAATGGCCTGGAGTCAAAACGTCGATTTCAGAGGCGTCAGAGGAAAGATGGCACAATGGCCTGGAGTTCAGTAGAGCCTCAATTTTGACGAACACCGTGTTGAGTTGTTCAAAAGTCAAGGACTGCTCTCCTATGACACGCTTCAAATGATTCCAGTTCGAGTATTGCGGTATCAACTGTTCCCAAAGGGTGGGATTAATCACTATCAAAACCACGCTAGACTTTTTTCTAGTGGTCTCAGCAAAATTAGGCCATTCATCTATGGGATCAGATAAAAATGGCGGTCCCGTAAACCACATCGGGTGGTTTACTAATTCGTCGGGAAAACACCCACGTGACCCTAAGTCACTGGGATTCAACTCCGAAGGAACATATTTCCATGCGGATGGTTCGAGCCTCTCGAGTATGTAGGTAACTCTGTTGGCTTCGAAGGTCTTCAATTTGCAAGGCAAAGTTTTGATCCAGTCTAGAACTACCTGAGAGTCAGTAAAAGCGACAATATTATGAATTTCAATGACGTCACTAAGTTGCTCCTTCAAGTGGATTAGGAGAGTAGACAATAATTGTGCTCCACATAATTCTAGTTTAGGGATCGAGATTGTCTTACGGAGCAACTCGTGTTTTGGCGCCAATCAGAGACACCTTGGCTGCATTGTCAGACTGAGACCTCAAGTAGACGGCCGCAGCGTAGCCAAGTTGTGAGGCGTCTGAAAAGCCAACAAGGGCGTGCGAAGTAGCGTCAGGCAAGGTGACGCACCTCTCAATTTGAAGTAGGCCGATTGACGGCAGTCCCTTGTAAAACTCCAACCACTCCGCCTCCAAAACCTGTGGCAGTGGGTCGTCCCATGCCAGGCCCTCTATCCAAAGTTTTTGCATGATGCTCTTCGCCTTAAAAACAACTGGCGAAATTAACCCAACAGGGTCGAATATTCTAGCAACATGTGACAAAATATTCCGTTTTGTAATGATATGTGTTGAAGTTTTCACCACATAGTAGAAAAAGTCCAATTTTGCATTCCAGTGAATGCCGAGAATTTTTGAAATGGCCGCTGAAATATCAGTTAGGTCCAATGAAGTGACGCAGTGTTCCGGTGGCACATTTTTCAAGATTTCGGGGCAGTTGGATGCCCATTTTTGGGGCTCAAAACAGCCTGCTCTCAGGAGCCCAATAATCTGATGTTGCAGCTCGAGCAGGAGTTTCGCGTCGGGTGCGCCCGTTGCTAGATCGTCGACAAAAATATCCCTGCAAAGAACCCTTGAAGCCAAGGGGAAGTTTACACCCTCGTCGATTGTCAACTGTACTAGCACACGCTGTGAGAGAAACGGCGAGGATGTGAGACCGTAAGTCACGGTATTCAAAACGAATTCTAAAACTTGTCCGTTTCGACGCCAGAATATGTGTTGATATTTGCGCTGATCAGGTCTGATCAGGATCTGTCGGAACATTTTAGAAATGTCGCAGGTAAACACCTTTTGATGCAGCCTGAACCTTGTAATGGCATCAAATACATCATTTTGTAGTTTCGGCCCTGAGTATAAAATGTCGTTTAGCGATATGCCGGAACGAGATTTTTGAGACGCATCAAAAACAACGCGCAGTTTGGTCGTGGTGCTGTCCTCGCGAAAGACTGCATGATGAGGTATATAATAGGCCGCCTTTCCATGATTTTCCAAGGCAACGGGCTCCATGTGCGTAAGTGATTCATATTCATCCAAAAAATCGGCATACCTTGTGCTTAACACCGATGATTTTTCAAGTCGGCGTTCCATTGAGTGGAGCCGCTGAAGTGCAAGTGTTTTTGAGTCGCCCAGTGGCGGAGCGCACTCTCGCAATAAAATGGGTACAACATAACGGCCACTTGGCAAACGGTAATGTTGTTCCTTGAACATTGTCTCGGCGATGACGTCATCCGGGTGCGCAGGCACCTTGGTCGGGGTCTCCTCGATTTCCCAGAATTTTCGAAGGAGGGTGTCGGTGTTAGCAGACTCACCGGAGCCGGGCGTGGTAATTAGTGCCACTTGACCCGGGTGACCGTGAGCGCGGTTGCCAAGCCTACCGATAATGACGTAGCCGAAAATGCTGTTGAGAGCGCTTAAAGTCCCGGAAGGTCCCATTTTCTTTTCCCCAGTGAAAATGAATGGGAAAATGTCGGCGCCAATCAGAAACTCAACTTCGCGTGCAGTGCCGAAGTGAGGATCTGCCAGTGGTAAGTGTGCGAAATGTTGCCGTACATGCTCAGTGATGTAGGCCTTCGGTAAATCAACTATTTTCTTGATGACCATCGTATCCGTTGGCAACACTGGCTCAGGGTTGAAGCGGGAGCGAATGTAGCAAGTGAGTTGACCTCTTACCCCAGTCTCGCCTCCCCCAATTCCTGAGACAGGTTCATATGTGCGTCGGTATTTGAGACCAACCCTCTGCGCTGCTGCATGTGAGATGAACGATGATGACGCAGCGCTGTCAACCACGCTGTGAATTTTATGATACTGACCATCCCTGCCTAAGATTTCGATCAGTGCTGAACCGAGGAGCACCGTGGGAACGGAATCTTTTGAGGAGTGGTCAACGTCGGTCGCCACCAGCGATATTTGGGGTGCGGAGCCGGAAACATGTGCGCTCCCCTCCCGCCCATCTTGGCTGTGATCTGAGTGATTTTGCTGTGTCTTTTCGGACGAAAGATTTTTCGTGGATAAGCAGAGCGAAGTATGATGAGTACCGGTGCAATTTCGGCAAGTACTATTTTTTATCGGACATTGGCCTACCAAGTGGCTTTCCTTGTTGCCTACCTTGTATTTCAAACAGTTGAAGCACGCGCCAAGCTTCTTGGCGTAATCTCTTCGATCAGGTGTCCCAAGTTTTTTGAAGCGTGGACAAAGATAAAGGGGGTGAAATTCCTTATCACAACAGCGGCACTGTTGCTTATTTTCATTGGTAACAACCAGTGCACTTCGTTTTTGCTCGGTGAAGCGGCTGTCCTTGCGGTGAGAGTGTGACTTAGAGTTTTCACCGGCTTCCAATTTGCCTGCAAGATGCATGGAGTTTGCGCGTTTTTCCAAATAATTGAGCAAGTGATCATAATGCGGCATTTTATTATCGGTCAATTTGATTTCCCATTCATAGGCTGTTTTTTCACCGATTTTCGTCAAAATCAAATCAATAATTGGAATGCTCCAATGTTCGATGGGTGCATCTAGATTTTTTAAAGCTCGCAAATTTACTCTAAAAACATCTACCAGGTCACCCAAGGCTTTAGGCGTGTCCTTCTGCAATTTTGGATATTCTCGCAGATTCGAAAAATGTGTACGTGCAACACGACGAGGACAGTCAAACTTATCTTTCAATAAGTCTAAAGCCAGCTGATAATTGCTCTCTATAGTAGAGACGTTTTTCAGTAGATCAGCGGCTTTTCCTTTTAGTGCCGACTTCAAATAAAAAAGTTTTTTCACAGAATTTAACTTTTCGTTCTGATCAATTAGAGACGAAAATAGGTCGAAGAATGACGCCCATCCTTCTAAGGACCCATCAAATTCAGGCAATGAAATAGTTGGTAGTTTGACTTGTGTTGAATGTCCACTCAGTGATTCAGGGGGTGTAGAAACATGCGTTTTTACACCTAAATCACGTTCCGGTGTATTTATGACAATTTCGCGTAAGTATTTCCGAGCGCGTGCGACAGCAATATCGTAGTGTTCCTGCATAATTGTCCGTTGATCTGTTTCTGCATCGACGGGCTCCTCGAGCCCTTCGATCTCATCCTGTATTGAGTCGAATTTGTCGAAGGTTTTTTGAAGAGATTCAAGACTTTGTACCAACAAATCTGAGTCTCTAGTGGATTCATCGTCTTTCCAAGCGTCAAGTTTCTTGGTGAAGGTCGTGATGTGGCGCTGAATGTTTCCTCTCTGACGGCGCAGTGTCTTGAGGCGTGCAGCTACATCTGTTTCCTCCATAGTTGAATAGCTTTTGCAAAAACTCCAAAATCCGTATGAAAGTTGATTCTAATTTGACTAAGTAAGTCAAGTGAATGCCGGCTCAAGCTCAAATGTTGTATCCGGCCCGAGGGACCATGTTTGAGGATCCGACCGAAAATCGCACTCAACGGTGAGAATTTGACTTAGAGAAAAACCCCCCGTTGGATTTCCGCCCGGTTCCTATATCCGGTCAGCGCGAATTATCAGCGCACCCGCAGGCGTGCTGGGTTCGGGCTGCGATACTTTACTCGAGAGTCAGCGCAGATCGGCAGCGCACCAAGCAGCGTGCTGAGATTTGTGCTGGATGCTTCGAGGAGTATCGGACCTGTAAAGGTGGATCGATAATGCTGAAGGCAAGTGTAAGTTTCATCAATTTATTTCAGGAGTTAGTACATCAAGCAGATAGGCTAACTCGGCAGTGGACTTGTGCCTCCAGGAGCTCGCGTGTTTCTCCAAGAGGGTGACGACGGGAACTGACGGGCCAAGGGTGGGCCCGGCGCGGCCAAGGGCTGGTGCCTCGGCGCACAGCGCATGCGCACTCCAGTCAAGGCTAGAGTGGGGGTGAGTTTGTGGAGCTGCAGGGACGCGGAGGTCCCGGCAGGAGTGTGAGAGAAGGGGGGGGGGCTGGATACAACCGTCCACCACCGAGTTGCCTGAACTACAAAAAAAGTGCGAAATAAAAATTCTTTAAATCTCTATACAATATTCAACAGTCAAGTTCACGATCTTACGTAAGAATGTCCTCATGAGTGAAGATGCTAGCGAATTCAATGATGCCACATTTTTACGTTAAAAAAAATTGTATTACTTAAAGTTGTTAGTGATTGTAAAAACACAAAACTTATTGTATCTACATTCAATATATTAATTTTCTTAATTTTCGCAGGGACCATTTTTCTCTTAACCTGTAGAGTTTTACGTGGCAAGTCCTTATCACGATGTATTCTTGCCAATACACTTTGATCATGTCTCCTTTTATTCTGAGAGGTACACGTACGTTTTTTTGGATTAAACGAATGTTTCATGTCTAAAAAAAAGGATGACTATACATTCGAATAAAATTGAAGAAAAAAATTACTATATTTTTACGAACATTTTACACAGACGCTATTTTATATTTTAATCGATGCGCATAAATGATTATTTTACAGAAAAATGAAAACAAACTATTTCATTGCAAAATACTTCCTACACTTACATACATGAGAGTCGCTCTCGCAGCGCTTGGTGCGCTTGGTGCGCTTGGTGCGCTTGGTGCGCTTGGTGCGCTCGGTGCGCTCGGACGAGGTGGAGTGGGAGGCCGAGGAGAGGTGAGGACTCCCTAGTAGCAGAACAAATTTTTGTCTTTCTAAAAAAAAGTATTAAAAAAAAAACATATCTGTTATCTAAATGATTATTTTATATAAAAAACGTGTAGCGCTTATATAAAAAAAATCAAAGTTCAGACCTGACCGTAATATATAAAAAATGATAAAAGCTAGATAAGGTTATTTTTTTTTTATACACACATTTTTTATTTTTTTATATAACGCATGCATACGAAAGTGTTAAAAGAGAACATTTTTATGTAACGATTAAAAAAATAGGTATAGTAAAAAAATAGGTCATCATTTTCGTGAGTTTTTTGCGAATTAGAAGAATTTTTAGTATGTTCGCGAAAAGCTCAAGAAAATTATATTAGATAATACATGCATATCTTTGCATTTCTCCCTATCTTTGCATGGAGAGTTTGTCTTCATGTAGACGTGGACTATCGGGGTAGGGTGGGATATCTTGTGAGGGGGGTGGTATTCGGGGTTGTTGTTGTGGATAATGAGTAGGCTTAAAGGTACATAGTACTGACGTATATTCTAGGTGAGGTTAGGTTACAAGGGTGCGGAGAATCCGCGTCTTTATTGCGGGACGAGCCGCGTCTTAATGCGGGACGAAGCCGCGTCTTATAGCGGGACAAGCCGCGTCTATTGCGGGACAAGCCGCGGAATGCGGATTTGAAGGGGTCTACCCCAACTAAAGAGAACTTACTCTGACTGGTATTAACTTGTGACTGGATACTCGGAGGCCCCGCCGGGTGCCTTTTATAGCTGATCGCCAGCCTCCCACCAAGTTGGTCCATGCAAGTTTGGAGATGGGAGACTGAGCGATCGAGCTGCTCGTTGCGGCCGGCGGAGGAAACTGCCTCGCAATGAGGCAAGTGCGCCAAGCGGGGCGGCCCGGCTCATCACCACTTGAGGTGATGGATTGACCCGGGTTGCGCCGCCACAATCTCCTCCATTTTGGCCTCATCTTGAGAGCTTTTTTTGAGCTTGGGAGATGATTTCAGAGAAAACCAGTGGCACCATCGTGTTTCTCGCAAACTTTTACATAAGAATCAATGGTCCAATCGCAAATCCCTCACACATGCAACATCTCCATCAGCTGGTGGTTGTCTGGCGAAGGAACCTCCGGTGCTGGTGGAGGTGCATATCCACCCGTTGACGGTTTTCGATTGACAAGAGGAGGTTTCGTCCAGGCATTGGGGCGAGTTCTGGCACAAGGGGCCAAAACACGGCGTCGCTCATGAGTCTTGACTAGACTGAACACTAAATGACCTATAGACCTAGAACTTACATGGTGGGTGAAAAGATGACAAATAATGAAATAATCAGAGACATTGTGAATTCAATGATGCCACATTCTTACGTTAAAAAAAATCGTATTACTTAAAGTTGTTAGTGGTTGTAAAAACACAAAACTTACTGTACCTACATTCAATATATTAATTTTCTTAATTTTTGCAGGGGCCGTTTTTTCTTAACCTGTAGAGTTTTACGTGGCAAGTCCTTGATGTAACGTATTCTTGCCAGTACACTTTGATTATGCCTCCTTTTATTCTGAGAGGAACTCGTTGTACGCGCCTCTAGCGCGTAATTTCTGCTGCCGCGCCGCGCCGTCTAGCGCACAGCTAATCGCGCCGCGACGCCGACCGCGGCCAAGATCGATCAGGTAAAGGTATGATATCCCCGGTGCGCCCGGCGCATGGTTAGATTTCCCCGGTTCGCCCGGCGTGTAGTGTAAGCCCCGGTTCGCCCGGAGAGTAGTTTAGGGACCCCGGCTAGCCCGGTGAACTGCAGCATAGGGACCCCGGCTCGAGCCCGGTGTAGCTAGGAACCCCAGCTCAAGGGAGCTGAAGCCAGGCCCGCGCGCTCTCGGTAGCTTTTCATATCTTTAAATTAAATTAGGGATTAAGGCCCCAACACTCGTACGTTGTTTTGGATTAAACGCATGTTTAATTTCTAAAAAAAGGGATGATTACACATGCAATGTGAATTCAAGTCGTGGGTACTATTGACACATATATATTACTGAAGATTGTGTTACATGGTTGATGATAGAATGGCAGCGGGTCAGCACCGCGAGGTGATTTCCTTGACAATGGCGAGAGCTACCAAGCTGCTCCGAATCGCCGCGAAAATGTCGCGAGAAGATAAAATATTGTAGATGAATTGAGGGAATTAAATAGATATGTTTTAATTCCGGAATAGAATTTATTCGGTTTTACATCGCTAAGGCCCGTAACTACGCGGCAATGCTCACGATACACTAAAGGCGGGGCCGAAACACGGCGACGCTCATGAGTCCTGACTAGACTAAACACTAAATGACCTATAGACCTAGAACTTACATGGTGGGTGAAAATAATGGAAAAGAATGAAATGATCAGAGACGGCAAGCTGGGCCGTGGAGCGGGTTTTACAGCCGCAGAAACCGCGACTCGGCAAGCTCCGGCCCGGCAACTGTCGGCCCAGATAAGACAATACTTTTACAATATTGGGCAAATATTGTCGGTATTGTCGCAATATTTACACAATACTGACAGTATTTTGATAATATTTTAATCAAAATTATTTTTTAAAAAAATATTTAAAGAATGTTTATTTAGTATCTTTAAAAATAATATGTTCACCCAAAAAATTATAAAAATATTTTCACAGTATTTCACGGTATTTTAAAGTATTGGCACGGTATTTATGCCAAAAGGAATTATGGTGTACACTTTTAACATTGGCTCAATATTCAACCAATACTGACCTAATGTTTGCATAAATATCAAAACAATATTGTTTAAATATTGGCTAAATATTTCTGTCTTATCTGGGGGGCGTCTTCCCGCTTTGGCCGCGGCCACCGACCGAAGTGGGGAACAGCTCCGCAGGTCTTGCCGTGGTACTCTGACTGACGTCACCGATTCTACTAGGGAAGCGGCGAGTGTACCGCACGTCAGCGGTCCCGAACACGGAGTATTGTGAGGGGGGTGGTTTTCGGGTTTTTGGTAATTGAGAATTGCAAGGGCTTCATTGACACATATTTATTCACTATTTCATTTGTTGTATGCTCATACACGTATTTATATACATATGGTTCTAAAGTCTATGAGTGGGCTATGAGATGGGGAGGGGGGGGGAGGGGTTCGGGTCTGAGCCGAGTTTGTGAACGCGTCCGGGGCGTGATGGAGATACGGGTCTGAGCCGTGATGGTACGGGTCTCGGCCGTGATATTCACGGGTCTGACCGATGACTGGGAGATGGGTCCTCTTTCACATTTTGACTGATACTGTGTTTTGGCCTATGCCCCGGCCACTATTTATAGCAGCACGCCACGCGCATTACTGAGTGCGAGTGCCGCGCCGCCACAGTATACATGCTAGACAGCAGTGTCGCGCTGACGGCAAAAATAAGTGGAAGTAAGGATTGAGGCAATCGTGGTCCTGCGTGTAAATATCTTTCGTGCCACTGTGGACATTCGAATATTCGCTTCCGAAGTATTCGAAATCGCAAATTCGAATAATTCGAATATTCAAATAATCGCATTCTAAAGTGTCTAAAGTGTCACTTTATCTCTCACGGTCCATGAAAAATCAAAAATCGAAGCAATAGGTACCTAATCGAAAATATTCGAATATTCGCATCCGAACTATTCGTAATCGCAAGATTCGAATTCTC